AAAAAGGAAGGAGGGAAAGGAAGGAGGGGGTGAAGAAAGGAGGGAGGGAAGGAAATGAAGGGGAAGGAAATGAAGAAAGGGAAAGAAGGAGGAAAGGGAGGGAGGAAAAGAAGGAAAGGAAGAAGGAAGGAGGGACAGGAAGGAAGGAAAAAGGAAGGGAGGGAGGGAAAGAAGGGAAGGTAGGAAAAAAGAAGGAGGGACAGGAAGGGAGGGAGGAAGGAGAAGGAAGGAAGGAGGAAGGAAGGAGGGAAAGAAAGGAGGGGGATGAAGAAAGGAGGGAGGGAAGGAAATGAAGGGGAAGGAAATGAAGCAAGGGAAAGAAGGAGGAAAGGGAGGGAGGGAGGAAAAGAAGGAAAGGAAGAAGGAAGGACAGGAAGGAAGGGAAGGAGGGAAAGAAGGAAAGGAAGGAGAAGGAAGGAAGAAAAGGAAAGAAAGGAAGGAAGGAAAGGGAGGAAAGAAGGGAAGGGAGGGAGAGAAGGAAGGTCCTTCATTCAAGCACCGTGGACCTTCCTCGCCTCCTCTGTAGACATGCAGTTTCTCCTTTGTGGACATGCAGTTTAGAAGTCCTTTCTGCTTTTTGTTTTTGTTGTTTTTTTTTGAGTGGAGAACATACATTGGGTTGTTAGGAACATAGTGTCCAAATTTGGTGTCAATTCCCCCAGTGGTTTTTGAGTTCTGATGGTATCACAAAAGAACATTACATTTTAATTTATATAGATTATTATTATTATTATTATATTATTATTATATCTAAGCAAATGCCAATCAAGAGGAAGGCCCCCCTCAGGGAAGGGTCAAGCAGGAGGAAGGCCTTCCCCAGCAGATGGTCAAATGTGCTCTCACCCGTAGGAGTGCCCCACCAGGATGTTCCTCCTCCGGGCGTATCGGCGGAAGAGGGCCCGCATGTCCTCGGCCAAGGCATAGAAGGTATAGGCGGCAGCCACGCGGGGGGCGGAGCTGGCCCCATGCCCAGCCAGGTCGGGGGCCACCACCTCATAGCCCAGCCGGGAGAAGAAGTCCAGCTGCTCCTTCCAGATGTCCAGCGAGCCCCCCACACCATGGATGAAGAAGAGCACCACGTCCCGCTGCCCCCCCTTGCAGCCTGAGATGACCTTGGCGCAGTCTACATGCACCACCTTCTTGGGCTTCCGCTTGGGCCGCTGGACCTCTGCTGACCCTTCCGCCTCCAGCCGTGCAGCCGCCTCGCCCAAGTTCTCAATGACCATCTGGCCATTGCGGTAGACAGTGATCCGGCGCTGGCAGCGGATGGCCTTGGCTTTCTGGATGGCGGCCTCCTCCTCTTCTTCCTCCGCCGCTGTCCGTGCAGGGCGGTCTGGCACCAAGTGCTTGACTCTCAACACCCTGCCGGGCTTGACCTCCACAAAACTAAAGCCATCAGCAGACTCCACGCTCTCCAAGGGGCTGACCGCATGGGGCGCCTTGCCCATCAGGCAGCAAAGCAGGCCCTCGGCGATGGAGGTCAGCATGGCGATCCCTATAAGGGGAGAGAGAAAGAGACAGGGGTCAGCCAAGAGGTTACTTAAGGATGCACTCAGGAAGAGAGAGGTCATAAAAGGTTGAGTTCTAAGGGGGCGTGGCCACACAAGACCTGTTTTGCATACCCTCCCCATGCTCTACAGCCCAAGGGGCATGACCACAGAGAGAGGTCATAGGCTGGGTTCCAAAGTAGGAGTGGCCAAAGACCAAAAAGGGGTGTGGCCACAGGAGGTGAAACACCTAACAGGCAGAAGAGGTCACTTAAGGATACATACATTCCAGACCAGAAGAGATCCTAGAAGGATGTGAATCATAGAATCATAGAATCAAAGAGTTGGAAGAGACCTCATGGGCCATCCAGTCCAACCCCCTGCCAAGAAGCAGGAATATTGCATTCAAATCACCCCTGACAGATGGCCATCCAGCCTCTGTTTAAAAGCTTCCAAAGAAGGAGCCTCCACCACACTCCGGGGCAGAGAGTTCCACTGCTGAACGGCTCTCACAGTCAGGAAGTTCTTCCTCATGTTCTAGATCTAAGGAAGTAATGCTACCCCTCTATTCTGCTTTGGTTAGACCACATCTGGAATATTGTGTCCAATTCTGGGCACCACAATTCAAGAGAGATATTGACAAGCTGGAATGTGTCCAGAGGAGGGCGACTAAAATGATCAAGGGTCTGGAGAACAAGCCCTAAGAGGAGCGGCTTAGGGAACTGGGCATGTTTAGCCTGAAGAAGAGAAGGCTGAGAGGAGATATGATAGCCATGTATAAATATGTGAGAGGAAGCCACAGGGAGGAGGGAGCAAGCTTGTTTTCTGCTTCCTTGGAGACTAGGACGCGGAACAATGGCTTCAAACTACAAGAGAGGAGATTCCATCTGAACATTAGGAAGAACTTCCTGACTGTGAGAGCCGGTCAGCAGTGGAACTCTCTGCCCCGGAGTGTGGTGGAGGCTCCTTCTTTGGAAGCTTTTAAACAGAGGCTGGATGGCCATCTGTCAGGGGTGATTTGAATGCAATATTCCTGCTTCTTGGCAGGGGGTTGGACTGGATGGCCCATGAGGTCTCTTCCAACTCTTTGATTCTATGATTCTAGGATTTATGTTCAGATGGAATCTCCTTTCTTGTAGTTTGAAGCCATTGTTTCGCGTCCTAGTCTCCAAGGAAGCAGAAAACAAGCTTGCTCCCTCCTTCCTGTGGCTTCCTCTCACATATTTATACATGGCTATCCTTCTCCTCGACATCCCCGGTGCATTCGTCAAGGACAATCCATTGAGATTCGTCCAAGAGCCTATGGTTCTCCTGTATGTGTTCCTGTTGCACCTGGTCTATGGTTGGGGATGGTACACCTGCATGATTGTGTAAGTGTGAATGTTGTGAAGTGTTGTCCCAGTCAGGGCTATCCCCTGCACACTGATCAAGGATGAGCCACTGATCAGTATCTAAGCCATTCTGGTCTTCCCCAATATGTTGTGTTTCTTGGTCAGGTGACAAATACCTGGGAGTCACCCTGGACCATGCTCTGACCTACAAGAAGCACTGCCTGAATATCAAGCAAAAAGTGGGCACTAGAAACAATATCATACGAAAGCTGACTGGCACAACCTGGTGATCACAACCAGACACAGTGAAGACATCTGCCCTTGCACTGTGCTACTCTGCTGCTGAGTATGCATGCCCAGTGTGGAACACATCTCACCACGCTAAAACAGTGGATGTGGCTCTTAATGAAACATGCCACATTATCACGGGGTGTCTGCGCCCTACACCACTGGAGAAATTACACTGCTTAGCCGGTATTGCACCACCTGACATCCACCGGGAAGTAGCAACCAATAGTGAAAGGACCAAGGCAGAGACATCTCCAGCTCACCCCCTGTTTGGGTATCAGCCAGCACGTCAACGACTTAAATCAAGAAATAGTTTTTTAAGATCTACAGAGACATTTGCTGGAACACCTCAGCAAGCAAGAGTCCAAAAGTGGCAGGCTCAAACCCAGAACCTCAAACAATGGCTGATACCAAATGAGAGACTCCCCCTGGGCACACAGAAAACTGGGCGACTTGGAAGGTGCTGAACAGACTGCACTCTGGCACCACGAGATGCAGAGCCAACCTTAAGAAATGGGGCTACAAAGTGGAATCCACAACATGCGAGTATGGAGAAGAGCAAACTACAGACCACCTGCTGCAATGCAACCTGAGCCCTGCCACATGCACAATGGAGGACCTCCTTGCGGCAACAGCAGAGGCACTCCAAGTGGCCAGATACTGGTCAAAGGACATTTAATCAACTACCAAGCTTGCAAACTTTGTGTTTTGTTTGTTTGTTTGTTTTGTTAAAAAATGCAATGCAACTGTTTGGCCTGCCCCTGACACGATAGATAAATAAATAAGCTAAAGACACAGTCAGGAAGAGAGAGATCACAGGGTTTCAAAGGGACATGGCCAAAGACCAAAGAGGGCCAAAGGATGGGAAGAGATGGAGAAGATAGACAGAAGAATGGATGGATACATAGATGGGTGGATATCTAGTTAGACAGATAAATAGATAGATCCATAAATACACAGATGCATGGATAACTGTATGAATAGATGAATGGATACATCTATCCATAGGTAGGTAGGTAGGTAGGTAGGTAGACATTGATGTAATTATCAGACAGATCGTCTATCCATCTATCTATGTATTGATCAATCAGTCTATCCATCCATTTATCCATCCATCCATCTATGTGTTTATTTATTTATCTATCCAGCTATGTATCCATTAGGCATGTGCAATCCATGGTTCTAAATGGTTCTAAAGTACTTACAAAACTAAAGTTCTGGTGGTGAAAACTAGGGGGCGCTGGTGCTTTGCTTCTACAGTGTTGCTAAAGTTCTGGTGGTGAAAATTTCAGAACTCTAACACAACTTTCAAAATTTCATTATAAATGGCAGTTCCTAATAGGTTCTGTCATAAAAATCACCAATAATGAAATAATAATGAAATTTTGAAAGTTTTGTTAGAGTTCTGAAATTTTCACCACCAGAACTTTAGCAACACTGTAGAAGCAAAGCACCAGCACCCCCTAGTTTTCACCACCAGAACTTTAGTTTTGTAAGTACTTTAGAACCATTTAGAACCATGGATTGCACATGCCTATTACCTATTCGTTTATGTGTCCAGAGGAGGGCGACTAAAATGATCAAGGGTCTGGAGAACAAGCCCTATGAGGAGCGGCTTAAGGAGCTGGGCATGTTTAGCCTGAAGAAGAGAAGGCTGAGAGGAGGTATAATAGCCATGTATAAATATGTGAGAGGAAGCCACAGGGAGGAGGGAGCAAGCTTGTTTTCTGCTTCCCTGGAGACTAGGACATGGAACAATGGCTTCAAACTACAAGAGAGGAGATTCCATCTGAACATGAGGAAGAACTTCCTGACTGTGAGAGCCATTCAGCAGTGGAACTCTCTGCCCCGGAGTGTGGTGGAGGCTCCTTCTTTGGAAGCTTTTAAACAGAGGCTGAATGGCCATCTGTCAGGGGCGATTTGAATGCAATATTCCTGCTTCTTGGCAGGGGGTTGGACTGGATGGCCCATGAGGTCTCTTCCAACTCTTTGATTCTATGATTCTATGTGTCCATTGATCAATGTATATATCCATCTATCTATGTATTGATCTATCAATTCATCTATCCATCCATCCATGTATTTCTCTCTCTACTCATTTATCTATATATCTATCCATGTATGTATCATTGATTGATCTATCTATCCATCCATGTATTTTTTGGAAAATGCGAATCTCCATAACCATTTGGGAAATGGGATTCATAACCTTTTGAGAAACCACTGGTCACAGACATGTCTATATTCAGTCTATATTCTCCATCTTCATCGCTATGATACTTCACCTTGTTGATGGGAAGCTTCCCACCGGAGTGGAAATCA